TGATTTACTAACCTTATAAACACACCACGAACATGTATACACCTCTGTAGTGTATTCCCTCCCAGCATGATCTATGGATGGAATCTAAACACCTTTGTAGTGTGTACTCACCCAGCAGGTGTGTTGTGCAAAGCCCTGCATGAATTGCAAGGTGATGTTGTGTAAATTAGCTCTACATTGTGTTGCTTGCGTTGATGAATGCAGGAATGTAAATGCATGAGCTAACCATTTTTGTCTAAAGTGTGAAGCAGCATTATATATGCATCATGTGCATGATTTTTCCATATATGGCATTAGTGGAAACATGCTTATAGAGACTTTTTGGTTGATAAATACGCTTTGCTGTGTAAAAATCACACGCACCTGGTGCGTGTGTTTAGGTTAGTAAATCAACCCCCTAATCTAACTCTAGGCATGAAAAAAAAAGTATTTTCCCCTTTACCCGCCTCTACAAAATCTGTATTTATGGTTAGCAAATTATGGACCACAGCAGTTTTTAAATTTCTAATATGGGCATGATTATGTGGTGATAACTTTGTCATTACTTAAGATAACAAATTAGTATGTATTGTTTTCTTCTGCAAAAGTGCCTTGCAAATTTTTTTTTGTTTTTTTAGTTAATCAATAAACGAAAAATTGTAAAAAAAAAAATCTATTTGACCAATGTAAGTTTAAAAAAAGTAGTTTTACTGTAAATAAGAAGTATACATTTTATATATCTATAACTTTCCCCTTTGAAATTACACTAAAATTAGGTTTCTGGTGCAAGGTTATTTGCAAAGAAAAAAAGGCCTTTTTGTCAATTTTGGGCATTTTTTTATGCAACACAGAAATAATAGGGGTTAAATAGAAATGCGTTTTATAACAAAAATTAAAAATTAGATTATTGATATAGATACTGGCATATAGAGATGGCTCACCTTTACAAGTAAGAGAGAACTAATAACTCTTCACCTTTTACTTTGTATCTAATCTGTGTCTAATTTGTATCTAGCTTGAGGAGATGTGAAACTATCCCACTGTGTGGAGCTAGTGAGACATCTAGTGGCCAATTGTTGTATTAACTTTGATGTGCTCTATATAAACTGTGATTTGGTATGGAAAGACAAACCTGCAATTCCCCTGAGGACGTCAGTGGTGACGAAACATGTAGGGGCAGGTCTACCATACCAAACACGTTTGTTTTCGGACCGGCCGAATGGGATTTTTTATTTTAAAAGGAATTTTAAAAGAAATTTTAAATAAACTATTTGTGGAACTATTACCGATGAAAGATTTTTTCTTTGCATGACTGTGGGAATACTTTACACTGAGGACTGATGGTAAAGAACGAGATACGAAAGACACCGCAGTAACGGTGTCCCATTAGACAAAGCGTTTGGGGCTGTCTGTTACAGCAGAAAGTTTGGGGTGAGTACGCACTCTATTAGGGGGATGTGTTGATCTTAATACAAACCCCAGGAAAGCACTACTCCACCGAACATTGGAAGGCTCTGCTATTTGTTTGGCTTTGAAGCAGAGCTGTATACTACAGATACTTTATTTGTTTATATATATTTTTTGTTAGCACAATTAATTGTCATTCACAATTATTTTCGTTTGTCTTTAATACAGCAGCTTGTATTTTATATCACAATATTTATTTATTTATATTGATGTGTTGACACGATACACTAAAAATTCATCACATTGACTTTGCAGTATTTAATATAAGTAATGTGTTAAGGAAACACTATTTTGGTTTAAATCACTGCCACCTGTATGATATACAGCTAATTGAACTCCTAGCGCTGCTTATCTTGTTATATCAAAAATTAAAAATTACTTGTAAGGTTTATTTAACTAACATTATATGCCACATATGTCATACAAGGCCTTATGATGTGGCTGCCCTGGGCGCCAAGGTCAGAGGTTCCGGCTGCAACACTAGGCTTGATCTGCCCTCACTGACCACTGAGTCAGGGTAGAAGGTGTGGGAATCTAGAAGAGGACTGGGGTGATCAGCTATGCACAGCCTCCTGTATTTGCTGATCCCTTGGATCCTATGGACATATGCTGAAGGCAGCGCCATGAAGGAGATTGCTACTGAGGCTGAGAAGAGCCGCAGGTAGGTAGGCAGGCTCAGACAGCGTGAGCCTGCTAACATTTATCCTGCTGCTGACCTTAACTATGCTCACCAAATTTATCTTTAAGCACTGACGAGGCACGTTTTCTGAATGTGATTCTGGTTACGCCACTGCTCCTTGGCTGGACCTCCCTCCTGGGCTGAAGGTTTCTCCTTGCCCGCACGTTCCTCCTGCATCTGGTCTCGGGAGCTCCGGTAAGTCCCACTGTGTGTATCTGGAACTGACTATGTGTGAAGGCACTACCAGTGTCAGTAGTCCCTGCTAATAATAGCGACAGGGAAAGTGGTGGCAGTGGGAGAGGAGCTAGATTTAGGAGATATGTATTAGAACATTTCTATATTACATTTCCCTCAATAGTAGCCCCAAATTCTTACCTGCAATTCAGGTCAAAGAAGAACTGGTAACCCCAGTTCTTCTTTTTACTGCTCTGTATTGTGGAAAGCTTATTCCACAACACTTCCTCATGACCTGGACACTGCCCACTGGCTGTCAAAAGGGTCTATCAAAGGCACCTCACTGGGTCCTCTATTACTACAATGGTGGCATCATCACGATAAAATGTGTTTGATGGCAACAAGATGTATGTCCCTGCATGATCGATGCACTGGCATGCACTTATATCCTTTAGTAAATCAGGACCCAGTGTTGCAAAGTATCCAACACTGCTGAATAATATTTTCCCTAAGATCAATCATCTAGGGGTGCCTGCAGACATTTGCTGGTACTCCAAGACATGAGGATCCTTTCAGATAGATTGGGTAATGGTCATCTTATAAACATGGGTGTTAAACCTCCACACACGCAACTGAATACACACATGAAATATATACAGCGATCAGCCATAGCATTTTGACCTCTGACCAGTGAAGTGGATAACATTATCTTGTTACAATGGCACCTGGAAGTGGGTAGGATATAATAGGAATCAAGTGAACATTTTTTCCCCGTAGTTGATGTGTTGGAAACAGAAACAATGGGCAAACATAAGGATTTGAGTGACTTTGACAAGAGCCAAATCGTGATGGCTAGGCAACTGGGTCAGTTCAACTCCAAAACTGCAGTTCTGGTGGGATGTTTCTGGTCTGCAGTGGTCAGGACCTACCAAAAGGGGTCCAAGGAAGGACAGGGTCATTGGAGGCCAAGGCTCATTGATTTACATAGGGAGTGAAGGCTGCCCCTGTAGTCTGATCCATTGAAAGAGCTACTGTAGCTCAAATTGCTAACAAAGTTAATGCTGGTTCCAATAGAAAGGTGTCTGGACACACAGTGCATCACAGTTTGTTGCGTATGGAGCTGCGTAGCTGCAGACCACCCAGGGGTCACCTTGTCCACCACCAAAAGCTCTGCTATACAGGGACTGCAAGGCAGATATCAAGTACAATTCAGGCACTTGCATGGCTTTAATCCAAAAATACATTTATTATAAGATATATTAAAGAATACAGGGCTGCGTTACCTGGTAACTTTTATATTTGCCTTTTATATTGACCTAGTTTGACACCTATGATCTAACATGTTAAATATAAAGAACTACACATTCTTAATTATGTAGTACAACCATTAAGACATTACAATGTTTTGATTTGGAGAAAAGTAACCATCACTGTTTGGTTTAAAATTTTAAAAATAATGCGCAAAACTCAAATCAGTATAGTATCTGAACCAATCATGCATCTGCATTCACATTACCTCACAAAATGATAAAACAATATGCATGCAAGATAATATGTAATATGTAATATCAGATAGTACACATGCAGTACGATTACAGAAGATAAAGTGATAAAATAAACTTTTTTTAAACACCATGCATTATTTAATGTCCTTTTGAGAACAATAGTAAATGTGTATTGCAGATCAATATTTGCTGGATCTAATTTAAAATCATTGCTAACTGAAACATGATGAAAGTAGGTGTCCCAAAACCTGTATTACGTTGTGGCTGACTTACTAAAGGAATAGAGCATGCTCACTTTGCAAAGGGAATTTTCACTTTGCAAGGGAAATTTTACTTACCTTGGCGAATGTGGTGGAAATTCACTAAGCAAAGAATACCCAATCACGAGCAAAGAAATAAAACCAAAAAATTATTTTTGCTTCTATATGATTGGATAATAGAAGTCAGCACATACTCCTCTTATTTAATTACCTAAGTGAAAATTACCTTGCAAAGTAAACAGGCTTAAGCCCCCATTTACACCTGAGCGTTTTGTCACAAGTTTCCCGAATTGTGATAATGTTCAACATTAAGAATCCCATTACTGTCTTTGGTGCCTGTTGACACCTGAGTATTGTGTTGTTTGCCGCTCAAAAATAAGCACATTGTGTGTTTTTGATCCCATATACTTCAAAGGGAACACCAAAAAAATGTGTATGGCATGCTTTCCAAGCAATTTTATGCAACTGTCTCCTACTCCTAGTAACTAGCTTTCCATGAACTAAAAGAAAGGTGCTCAAGCCTGGAAAAATACACAATAAATACATAAAAGAACCCTGAAATTGCTCCTGCTCAAGTGTGAATGGAGGTTACTCATTTAGTAAGTGTGTCTAGAAAATAAATTAAATTAGGAAACATTTGCTTTCATTCACTTTTCTATGAATTGTTCATTGTATTAGAGTGTGATACAGGCCCAATAATGTAATGAGGTGTTACGCTGTACAAGTAGTGCTGGGCATGCATTAAATGAATGGGCTGGTGCAGTCTGGGATTGTGGGCATAAGGGCATAAAGCAGACTTGCCATAAAGTGGCTGCAGAGTATATGGATATGAAAAAGTCTTCATCCTTATGGATTGTCAGCATCTGACAATCTGAACACTGACATAAACCAGGTATGTGGAAGAGAATGGACCGTGAAATACAGAAATATTCTCACCTGTTGCAGTACTGAGGACAAAAACTGTAGTTTTAAGTGGAGCTCTAAAGCCTGTTGCTTTTCCTATTTTTTTTTTTAGAAAGCAATTAAACAAAGAGAAAGTTACAGTGCAGTTAAATTTGGAATTATATATGTCAAGACTACATCACAATAGGAAACAGTCTGGATGTATTTTAAGAAAATGATGCTATGATAAAAGTGGCACTAAAGTAAATCTATCCTGCTTCCCATTCCGGGTAACGTGACAGATTCTTTTGGAAACTCACCCTCCACCCACTGACACTCACCTTTGCTGAGCTCCAGGGTTACCTGTTCCCCTTGCACACATGACAGTGCATAGGCTTGGCAACTGGCCCCTTAGAACCGAGCGCTACATCGTAGTATGAAGTGGAGTAAGTGCCTTCTGGGTCTAATGCCAAGAAAGCCCAAGTATTTCCAAGATGATTGGAGCAACAGGGGAGTGAGGAAAAAGTAAGCATCAGTAGACGAGGGGTCGGCCTTTTAAGAGAACCCGTCACTTTGACCTGAATGGGCCAAGACACAGATTGTCTGTAATCTGGGTGATCGTGAAACATGGCACATTTGGTTACATTTCTCCAAACCAAAGGTGAAGAAGGCTTAATTACATTTTGGAAGGCAATTCAGAGAAACAAGCAACTGATTCATCAAAACTGCAGCAAAAAAAATTAGAAACACACCCAAAGCTGTGACCCATGGTAAGTTAACAGCTTATACAAGCTATCTCCTAATACACATTGGTGTGAGGAATGCCCTCAGAAATGTCATTTTCTGCTCAAGTGATTGGCTCACAGATTTTCCTAGAAGTCTGCACAAAGATATAAGTAACATTTTAGGCATCCCCTGCAATAGAAATTTCATTTTGATGGGATACTCCCTAAGGGTTAACTAATTCTAAAGGGATGCAGACACATTAGAACACTGAAAGTGCATCAGGTGGTTATAATGAACCAGACCCTCCCATTCAAATCATCTACCAATGGAACTGCTTCTTCCTTTTTTCAGGGTGCCCCAACAATGAACAACAGTGAGAAGCAAGCACCATTACATACCAGCCATCATCATACTTATTGGAATACAGGCTAGAAAAACCGCCAAAAGCAGACATAAAGATTGTGGATGCTTTATTACAACCATAAGGCACACATCATTTTTATATGAATTGTAATAGTTGAAGGGGTTTTACATCAGGCAGCTGGAAGAATTTCACTCTGAAATATATGGTGATATACTGGAGAGCACGAACTGGCCCTTTTTCTATTCACTCACATAAATCAATTAAAAAAAATGTTCATTCCCCTAAACATTGATAATTGAAAGCTTGTTCATACTCTGTCTTACTCTAATAATGATTGAACAAAATGTTCAGCTGGTCTGGAAAGATTATTCAGCACTTGTGGAATACTTATGGCTCTTGATGACAGCTGAAGTGACAAAGCCTGGACTTGGTGACAGATCTGCATCCCCAAGATGGTAGAGAAGATCAGGTCACCTGTCAGTGGATTTGGGGACAAGCAGATGTGTCACCACGTTATGTTTGCTTTGGGAAGGTATATTTATTTTGGATTGCAAGCTTTCTTTTTCTATGTTTATACCTGATAATCCTGACAATGTGAACCCTCCTTGGAACTTCGTGTCCTAGGGTGACAACGCAGCCGTCATGTTAGTTTATGTAGGAGCAGTGTTGTTACCCCAGGATGTACGCTTCCACTGCTGCCTACAAGCGTAATTGCAGTTACACAGAGCACCTGCACACACACATACCTGCACCCGCAAACTCTACACTGGAGGCCTCAGTGCTGCCTACTAACAGCAACAGCAGTAGGAAGCCTGGCACATGTAGTCCAAGATGCCAAGATGGCCCCAAAGCATGTATGAAAATGAAGGGTAGAGAACGCAGCTAAAGAGCTATGCATTATTTATTTTAAAACTTAAAATACGTTTACATAGTGATGAGAAAAGGATCCTTCTATTCTAATCTAGAAGTTTACATGTATTCAGTTTTATGTTAGCTACCTTTACAGATTTAACTGACACAAAACATTTTGTAGGTTATATTTAAAGATCTACACAACACTACCATTAGAAGCAATAAACACCTAGATTCCTTTTTTAATGGACATGAATTTAGACACTTTATTGGAAACATACCAGCCAATGTGTCAGTGCAACAATAGTCTCCGTTTGAAGATCCGTATGCATGGAGGTAAACAGCACAGAAGATGTGGCACAACCCATGCCAATGGCTCTGTCAATTCTTGTATAGTTTAGATGTCTGTGTTGTATTCTGTTCAGCCTAACTAATCAAATCTAACATTCAGAAGGTGCTATTTGTGTATCCATTACTTTACTAGAAATAGCCACCAAATAGTCATAATTTATCAAATATACAGTATAGACTACCGTAATTTGCCCAGCTCTCGTGTGAACAGAATGAATAATTAGAATACTATGGGGAGCACCAATGTTTCTAAAATTGGACTGTTTTCAGATGTGACTAACATAATGTATACAACTCATTAAGCAGCCACTGCTTATATTCCTTGCCCTGTGGTCACACAGCCCCATCCCTCTTGTCAGTGCAGGCAAGAAAAGCACGCTGCAGCTTGATACTCATTCTCACGGAAACAATCACAGATCACGACTGGCTCCACCCAGCTGTCATTTGCTTGGAGATTGGTAAGCTTCGGCCGACCTTTCTCCATGCTTCGGCTGTCACTTCAGCTTAGTCACGCCGAAGCGTATGCCTTCGGCTCAGCTGAGCTGCTCGGCTGCTGTATGGGCTACTGTGAATACTCCCTCCGGCGGCCAAAGGATGAGCCGAAGGATGAGCTGAAGCTACGGCTGCATCCTTCGGCTCCATAGTGAATAACCCCCTGTGTGTCTTTTCTTTCAAATCAATGTGCTTGTGATATGTCCACCCAAGATTGGAAATTCACTCACCATTTAGTTTATTTTTCTATTATGGAAAGGCAAACGCACTTTTATGTATATTCCCATGGCGCAACTGCTCCCACCAAGATCACTCTCCTCTAGATTGCCTCTCTCACCCTCTTCCAAATAAGGACACTGTTCTTTAAAACATGTCTCCAACATTTAAATAGATCAAATGTAATAGAAGACATACACTGCAAATAGTGTGTAATCTTTTAGTTTTAATACCACTTAAAAGATCAACACAACTGAACTCACATGGCATGAATGCTCATTAGCACTATATATAACAAGATCAGAGGTAATCGGATGCTGTTAAATAGTTCTAATGAGGATTCGTGCCATGTGAGATCATATGTGTTGATTCTTTCTATCCATGTCCATGTAAAGGTTTCCAATTTAACGAAGAGTGTTCTTAGTTGGAAGAAAATATTGATATAAAAATGGAGTTGATCTAGAGAAAAGTGATCTTGCTGGGAGCATTTGTGACAAGGGGGTATATACAAAAGTGTGTTTGCCTTTTGCAGTTCTTATTTTCTTTTCCATTTGGTCTATTTAATCATTGGAGAAGTGTTTTTATTTGGAAGAAAGTATTGATTGTGATTCCATTCAGTCCATATTTACACACACACACACACACACACACACACACACATTTCAGAGTTATACAAAAAGGCCTTTATCAGGAAAGAAGTAAAGGGTTAACAACTCACAGTTGTTCTGCAGCAATGTAAGTAAATTAAGCCTTAGAAGTGTATGCTAACAATTCCTACAAGTGTCCCGACTTTTATGGATTACTCACAAGACCTCTGTCTGTATAAAAGTAGCATTGGAACAGACTGTGTCCAAGCAATATTTGGACAGTATTGTACTGCAGGAAGCAGTATATTGCTCTAACAATGGCGAGAAAAAGGCGATTAACAAAGGAAGACAGACAGACCAAATTTAACTCCTAAAAGTGTAGGTCTTTCCATTAGAGAAATTGCAAAGAAAGCTAAGTAGTCAGTGAGTACAGTTTCCAACACGATCAAAAGGCATTTGGAAACTGGAGGAAACTCTGACAGGAAGAGGTCTGGCAGACCCAAAGCCACAACAGAATCAGAAGACAGATTTCTGAGAGTCAACAGCTTGCATGACAGGTGGCTCACAGGACAACAGCTTCAAGCACAGCTTAACACTGATCGATGTAAGCAAGTCTCAGTTTCAACTGTGAAGAGAAAACTTCGAGCTACAGGTTTGATAGGTTGAGTGGAAGTAAGAAAGCCATTGCTAAGATGGCAAAATAAGAAAAAGAGGTTTGCCTGGGCCATGAAGCACCGCCAGTGGACTACTGAAAAGTGGAAGAAGGTCTTATGGACCAATTAATCAAAATGTGAGATCTTCGGTTAATGAAGCAGGGTTTTTCTATGACCGTTGAGTAGGCAACTGCCAAACATGGAGGAGGAAGCGTAATGGTTTGAGGCTTTTTTGCTGGATCCAGAGTCAGCGACTTGCACAGAGTGAGTGGCACCCTGAAGCAAAGCTACTACCACAGCATTTTACAACGCCATGCAATACCTTCTGGTGTACACCTACTTCGTCAGGGGTTCATCCTACAGCAAGATAATGACCCAAAACATACATCCAGGTTGTGTCAGAACTACCTTAGAGGAAAAGAACAAGATTGTAGGCTTCAAATCATGGAATGGCCAGCACAGTCTCCAGACTTAAACCCCATAAAGCTGGTTTGGGATGAACTGGACAGAAGGGTTTAAGCAAAGCAACCTACATTTGTGGGAACTTCTGCAACAGTGTTGGGAAGAACTTACTGAACAATATTTGATTTCCTTTGTAGAAAGAATTCCGTGTGTTTTCGGCTGCTGTATCTGCAAAAGGTGGCTACTTTGATGAGTCAAAAATGTAGACTACATTTTGTTAAAGAATACGATTCCATGTTTTCTTTTGGATTTCTAATTGTTTATTTGTTCTATGCTTTATTTAGTACATTGAGACATTAAACTGTGTGAATTTCAATAAAAAAATGGAAAAATGGTGGTGTTCTACAACATTTGTCCGGTAGTGTATATATATAGGAAATCATCTAGAAGAAAGCGATCTTAGTGAGAGCAGTTGTACCACAGGGAATATATACAAAAGCATGTTTGTCTTTCCATGATAAAAAGGTATCATGAGCTTATGGATTTAAAATATATAACAAGACACAAAGATTTGAAAGAGACTATTGGATATTTTTTGGAGACAGCCCTATTCGTACATAAACTGCTGCACTGTGTGGACCATTTGTACGTTAGTTTGAATTTTGCTGATATATTTGAATATTACTTCTTACTGCATGAGTGAAAAGTGGTGGGGCTGTTACTTGCATACTCTAGCATTTGCTGTTATATCCAATGTATCTAATGTTAATATCTAATAATCTAATGTCATATTTTAGATTGTATATCGTATGTCCTGATTTAGTAGGAAAAAGTTCTGAAATTGAACTATTAGATCTGAATTAATTTTGCTGTATATCATACACAGTGCACTGGAACAGGAGAGGACGGGAGGGAGGCATTGGGGGAGATGTTTTGAGTTGGAGGTTTTTAGTCAGTCATTGTTAACCAGTGTCACAATTCTGTGGTCATGGGAAGGGGTGTGCTTGTTCAACATGGACTGAATAATAAGTGTTCATGCCTGGTATGGGTAAAATCTTTCATCGAAGAATAATTGGTTACTCTTGTGTATGACTACCTTGTATATATGAATATATGAAAGGCAATGCATTTTTCCCCCTTAGGAGTAAGGACTGATTTAAATCAGGACTGATTTTAAGGTACATTCTGTTTAATACAAAAGTAACATGCCACTATTTTTTTACTCAGTTGGTATGAGACAGTATGAGAGATTTGAATACCTTCCTGCAATCATACCTTTTTTATCTCCTCTTGTACACACTTGGAATTGTCCTCTGATGACAACATTTCACTGTTCCCAGTTTCCATTCTAAGATCTGAATCCTGTTCTTCCCCAGAAGACGTTTCTTTATCACTAATCTTGGCTGTTAATTCACTTAATCGTGTTTTAAGCTTTTGCTCGAGACAGTCAGACTTTGTTCTGGGATGTTGGTCACCACTGCTCATCTCTGTTTCTGATAAATCAGTAAAGCCCTAGAAATAAAAGAAAGAGGATTACAATGTGCATTGCTCACTGTAAACAAATTATTACCCACAGTGTTATAAAGCTTATCCATTCTATTAGTCAAGACGTAGGTTTATGTTAAGCAGCAACCATACAAATATCTTTCCATGTTACGAAATACAATTTCCAGTGTTCTGTATGGATTTTGTCATAAGGTTATAAAGATTCTTAAGCATAGTAAAGCCCCTGCCAGGCTGCTGCTCGAATCAAGGGTCTGGTATGGGATTTTAGGGGGGACCCCAGGTTAAGGGGGACCTACAGGGTCTGGTATGACTTTGTAGGCAAACTTTTTTCTCTGGACATCGGGGGTCCCCCCTAACAAACCTAAAGGGTCTGGCATGATTTGGAAAGGGGACCCCATGCTGTTTTGTTTGTTTGTTTACATAACAGTTTTCAATCTGCTTCACTACCTCTGAGGTAATGAAGAGAATGACTGAATCGAAACATGAGCCGAATGTTCGACAATTCACTCTCTGCTGTTCGGCCCCTTGGAGAATAGGGGTGATTAGCAGGGAATGAACTGCCGAATGTTCGCTTCAGCTGATCCAGATATTACATCGGCGGAGGCAAACGCGCTCTTCCTTTCGGTTTGGTCGGACCTGCTCAGGCTGTTTGGCCGAGCCGAAGGTAGGTGAAGTGACCCGAATGCAGCTGATGTACGGCTAAAAACAGCCGTACATGGTTACAGTGAATAGCCAAAGAGGCTTCGGCTCACTTCACTTCGGCTTGGTTATTTATTCCGCTGCCTTCAGCAGGTTAGTGAATAACCTCCTAAGTGTTAGTTTAAGTATTATATGGAGGCTATATGAGGTTAAAGAAGAACTCCAAGCAGAATAAAACCTTGCAGTGCAAGGGTTAAGTACTTGTTTTAGTCTAGGGTCTAAAATAACATAAGTATACTCACCCGAACCTTGGTCCTGTCTGGCTGCTAGACCAGTCCCTGCAGCGTTTCTCCCCCCCCTTCGCTCCAGCTGTTGTGAGACATCACGTCCAATACAGTGTATTGGATGTGAGGATGCCGAGGGACATTCTATTGCCAGAGAGGAGGGAGAGAGAGACTGCAGGGACCGGTCTAGCAGCCAGGCAACTTCGAGGTTTGGGTGAGTATATCTTTGTTATTTTAGACCCTAGACCAAAAGGAGCACTTAACCTTTGCAATGCGAGAGTAGCCCCACTGCAAGGATTAAGTTTAATTCTTCCCGGAGTTCTTCTTTAAATGCTGTTACCAGACTATGAACATTACATTTACATGTTCTTAAAAAGCAGTTGAAAGTGTTTCAGATAAGCCATCTCCGACCTCTCCAGCTGCTTGTACTATGCAGTAATTCATTCTCACAATAACAACAGACACGCTACAGTCTGATTTCTGTCAGTTTCTAATAGCTCACAGCACTTGGTGATTGTTTACATTAGAAGGCTGGCAGGCTGCCACAGAAAATAAAGTGCAGTGGAGCGATTTCAGTGCTTCTGTTGCAAAGATTACATTGAAGATACATTTTCTCTGCTACACATACTGCTATCACACTGACTACAGCTGTACTCTGGCCAAACAGTTGTACTCCAGGCAAACAGCTAAATGCAAAGTTGAAATACATGTAAAGTAGCTGAGTACAAAGTATTAAGTCCTGAGATTTACAAAGCTCTTCCCCATAGCACAGCCCGGTCTAACACTTCATCTTTTTCTGCTGTATCTTTAAGCCCCTTATGTGATAGCACATTGGAGGTGACAGGTCCTTTTTAAGGAGACATTAGGGGTCTATTTGTCTCTAATCTAAGCTTCACGTTCCAATTAAGCAAATCAAGCACAGATCATGCTTGATTAGCTTCACCCCTGGCCACAACAGCTGGGAAAGTGACAAAATGCTCACTTGCATGCACCTGCCATGGTCATCCTGGGCTCACAGGAGGGGTACCACAGCCCGGGATACATGTTGGGGGTATTCGGCACGCTGTGGGACTTGTGGAATTGATCAGGCGGCTGTTCAGTAGATAGGAGTGAGGAGCATAGGAAATAAATACTTAGCTCCATCTAGTGGCCATAATGAGGTTTTACATTCAGCCTGAAAGAAAATATACAAGAATGTTTGGTTTTGCTTCTATTCACAGAGAAAGAATGTTCACAGAGATTTGCAGGGTAAATGGCTATGCAAATTGTTTATTAATAGACCCCATAGTGAACCTGAATCTCCCTAGTGGGGACAAAGACAGCAATAAAAGCCTAAGAGGTTTTAAGCCTTCCGATCCGTATCGAAAACTGAAAAAAAATGTATGGCACTTAAACTTTAAGTGTTAAAAGTTAATTTTAATGGTTAGATTCACTTTTAGGGTTGGAGTAAAAGGATGGTTAAGTGTTAGGGTAGCTTAAGGGCCAGGTTAAATAGGTAATCTTGAGGATGGTTACAAGTCACCAGTGTCAAGATCAATAAGAGACAGCATGCCAGTCTCGATGGATTTTTTCTTTGCTATTTAACCCATCAAGATGTTGTTTCCTTGCTGTCCCCTTGCTGGTAAGGGAAATTCAACAGCAATTGGGGCCAACGAGGGACACAGCACTGAAAACTGAAAAATGGCTTAGAAAGGAAGGGGGTGTAACATACATAAGTGGTTAAAGTTCCCTTTAAGAACCAAAATATTCATGTCTTCCACATGGTATTTACAGACCTTCTTGTCAGTCTATGTAATACTGATACACAAACGTTTATGGATGTTAAGAAGGGAACTTTAAAAATACTTAGAAAAGGAAAACCTTTGTGTTACGAATGATAATTCTGTTTGACAAGAGATCATGGACTGGATGTGGACCTCAGCTTTCTAAATCACTATCAAATACATTTATGATCATTCTAACCTTTGTGACTCTCCCCCCACCAGTCATTCCATAGTCCACTTCTCTACTCCTTATCTAACTAACTTTTTTGCTTTGATTATTCTGTTTTTTTTCCCCCAGAGATATTTTTCTTAACATTTTGCTTTCTGTATCAGTACCACTTGGATCAAGAAGAAGGGAACATCCCAAAAGCTTGTCCTAAAAAATGTACTGTTAGTACGAATAAAAAAAGTATCATAGACAGTACTCAACCATGTTGAAGACATACAGAATCAACAAAACAACACGAGTGCCATCTAGTGGGAAAACAAAGACATAGAAGAAATGTATCAAAACTGGAGCAGACAAAATCTGTAGCAGCTGAGCATGGTGACCATTCAGCTTCACTCTTTCATTTTCAAATCTTTATTGAACAAACTGAAGAAAGAAGCTGATTGGTTGTACTGGGCAACTGCTCCAGTACAGTTTTGATAAATTCCCCCCTTCGTATATAATCTGTACTGTATATTATGGGGATTATTCACAAAGCCTGAAGCAGGCCGAGTGGCCAGCCGAAAGCCTCGCAACTGACAGCGGGGCGGCTGGCTCTGACAGTTCAGCATCCCCTGGTTACCAGGGGCGATTATATTTGTGGATAAAGAGTTAGTTTAGATGTAGCAAGTTTGCGGCAGGGTCGTCACCCACGGCAACATCTGTCAATTTCTTCAGATTCTGTACTAAATGAATCTAACTTTACCAGGCTTTTAACTATTATTTTTCTCTGCAGAACTGCACCCAGCCCACTGGAATGCATCCCTTGCCTAGCTTAGAACCCATAGTCAACTGAATAGCTTGCCTAGTTCTCCAAACCCATCCTTTCAGCACCAAAATGTCAGCCACTGGTTTACCTTCTAAAGCTCCTGCTGTCTCTCAGGTGTAGCACCAGTAATATTCCCAGAAGGTCCTGATTTAAGTTTGTAACTCCTAAGTCCGTAAAATCATTTTCAGGACCTTTCCATAACTGTAACTGGTACCAATGTGTGCCATGACCAATAGGTCCTCTCCAGACTCACCCAACTTTCTGTCCATCTGATCTGAGATATACTAAACTGAAATCCCTAGGAGACAACATGTGGTTTTGGTAATAGGTTGCCTTATCTGGCCATCTAAAATTAAGGTCCACCTATACCACCACCTTTCTTTGCTTCACTACACTTCTAATCCTATTCTCTCACTGCAGCAGTCATTAGCCTGGTTGCCAATAGTGATGGGCCAAACAGGCCTGAGGTCGGTTCAAATTCAAATTTTTGAACCCCCAAAATGTTTGAATTCGCATTTGAGCCCAATGCAAGTCTATGGGGGTAGAACTTTCAAAAACAATTGTCCCCTTTAAGAGGGCTTACATGCAAGTTATTGGCCATAAAACGTGTATGGGGATTCGGGTACTGCCCTGGGGGACGTGAATCAATGAAAAAAAAACGTTTAAAAAATACAGTTCTTAAAGGAGCAGTGATGTTAACATCACTTAAAGGGTAACAATAAAAATGAAAAATTACTTTAAATATCGTGCCTGGGGGGTCCCCTTAACCTGCCTGTAAAATGGCACATCTGTACGATGTATAGAACCTGCTGCAGCAAAACTGACATTTCTAAAGAGAAAAAAATGAAGTTTTTTTATTTTTTATTTTAAAGAGTGCAATTCCCACTCCCAAACAGTACCAGACACTTTAGGTCTAATATAGGCCCGGCAGGGCCGGAAAGGGGGGGTCAAGCGAGCACCCCCCCTCCCTCCCATACCAGATGTCCTCGACACTGGGAGGATACTTTTCCAGGGTCGTCACTGGAAAAGCACCTTGCCCAGAGCCCATAGGGACAAGGCCTCTTCCCCACAAACCCTGGGGCGTTGGTTGTGGGCGTGAGGGCAGGAGGCTTATTCACATGAGGGTATCCCTTTAATAAAGAGGCACCCAGATGCACCCCCCCCTTTGTGAATGACTTGTACCCCTACCCATTCACTAAAGGGTTAGAAAAAAGATTACATAACAACACCAGGATTTCATCAAAAATCATTTATTTGAAAAAAAAA